TATGAGACAACTACAACAAAAACATACCATTCTGAAACGCCCTGTAAGAGTCGTGCTTGCATAGGTTCTGCTCGATCCTCTTCAATAATATTCTCTGAGTCTAACACGGGCTCAAATTGATAAGGCAATATCATTGTTTACAATACACCGGGACTGTATGCAACTACCCGTTATAGCAAGAAGCATGAACAACGTGCACTAGGCAGTTAGCGAATTGCAACACACTGAGCCATATAACCAATCTGAGCCCATTGCGGATTTCTGAGGGAGGAACCAGGAAGTCAACAGACCATTTTTAGAAGAATGGAAAAGCCGTGTTGAATAAAGGTAAAATATGTGAAAAATAATGTGATTTTTTAAAAACAAAGCATGAGCACATGTTACAGTGCACCCCATAAACACAATCGCAACATAGGCTCATTGGAAATGCGTGCCTCTACCTACATTTCTGCAAAACTCAAAAAACTTACTTACATACAAATCGCTGCAGTTTCCAGTTGAAATGAACACTAGAGGAAGCAGATTGCAGGGCCTCTTTGTTCAGCCTTCCTAGGGACGCTTGACTTAGGGAGCAATGGTTAAAATGTATTTTTAACTCTGTTCCTGAAAATTATAATCTAAATATAGCTCTCTGTGGTGCATATTTGACGGAGGACAGCTTCCTCAATCTACGTAATATCAATGCCGGCTTCGAACAAAAGCTTGTCCTTAAAGTTGGAGCAGTTCAAACTATAAAAGCAGAAGCTATTGTTTATGGGCCACAACCTATAAGTATGTTTTATTCTTTGTTGATGTGTTTTCCATAAATAGTTTCTATCATTAATTTTATGTTGTAGTATGAATAAAGCTTTAATACGGATAAAACTGTATATCAACAGATAACATAAACAGCAGTAGCATTTACAAATAACAGCGTATCTAAAAATTATGAGACAACTACAACAAAAACATACCATTCTGAAACGCCCTGTAAGAGTCGTGCTTGCATAGGTTCTGCTCGATCCTCTTCAATAATATTCTCTGAGTCTAACACGGGCTCAAATTGATAAGGCAATATCATTGTTTACAATACACCGGGACTGTATGCAACTACCCGTTATAGCAAGAAGCATGAACAACGTGCACTAGGCAGTTAGCGAATTGCAACACACTGAGCCATATAACCAATCTGAGCCCATTGCGGATTTCTGAGGGAGGAACCAGGAAGTCAACAGACCATTTTTAGAAGAATGGAAAAGCCGTGTTGAATAAAGGTAAAATATGTGAAAAATAATGTGATTTTTTAAAAACAAAGCATGAGCACATGTTACAGTGCACCCCATAAACACAATCGCAACATAGGCTCATTGGAAATGCGTGCCTCTACCTACATTTCTGCAAAACTCAAAAAACTTACTTACATACAAATCGCTGCAGTTTCCAGTTGAAATGAACACTAGAGGAAGTAAAACTCCCACAACTTTTATTCCTTTTCACACAAAGTATGATTTCCAGGTCCACAGTTTCGATTAAAGCTGCAGTCCGTAACGTTTTTGGTTAAAAATGATCCGAAATCAATATTTGAGCAAGTACATAATAATGTACAGAATAATTTGCTTTTTGGGTTAAAAGAATTTCTTAATATGAAATTCAAATGGTATGACAATTAGAGATTAGACTGTACAGAAATTGAAATCTACACACTAATACAAACTACATACATGTAGTCACGTAATGCTGATGTTGTTAACATTAACAATTTGAGAACAAAGTATAACAATAATAATAATTTGCATGGTTTGATGTGATATGAGCTAATCGATCGTTAGATTTAATCACCATTGGTAGCGCGATTTATTGTAATGCTTTTTTCCTCAGTTGGTCAGAACAAATGTGGCAGATTTGTTACTTGTTCTAATGACAATTATCCAGTGAAAATTCTTATTTGGGTATACTTCCAAGACGTAGGCTAGAATCTGTGATTGCGAAGTACAGTAAATATCCACCCCGGTGCGGTGACTGATAGCCACACATTCACCCAAAACATTAGATTCATCCGCGCTGGAGCCGTGCCGGTGCACGACCCACGCAATGAAAATAATTCCGCAAGTAACTGCAATTGCAGGTTTCAAACAGAGATGGCGACAAAAAGGCAAAACTTACGGATTGCAGTTTAATGAAGCCTAATTTTCAAATAATTACTTGAGGAATGTTATGTTATGAATTCAAAACAATTTTAACATGCTGTGGCATTTGAAAACTGATTTATTTGAAGGTTAGCGTCACATATCCAGCTTCATATGCATGAATTTTCAAACTCAGTACGTTTGCTCAGGTTCTGACACGAGACAGCGTTGCACTTGGGTAATGAAGAGCTCCGGTACGAACCCCATGAAACTACGGTTCAACAAAAAAGCTCAAATCCGCATAAGGAAGTTAAAATAACATGGCTGCATCAACAAATGCGTTTTTATATCACTTTTGCATTTGTTAACACTATCGGTAGGTTTAGGATTGGGTTTGGTGTAGGGGATATTTCCAACACGCATTAAATTTTAGTGACACTCCTCGGTTATTTGAATTATGAACCACCGCAATATGTACCGGAAGCAAAGTAATACAAACACAGCAATATGTGCCTATATCAACCAAAGTAACAAAAACGTGCCAGGGTCACGTATTGAACCCACGTTTTAGCGCCACTCACTGGACGTTTCACTTTGAAACTGCCGCGAAACGTGCAGTAAGGTAAATAATAATAGTGCTGCAGAAATGTATTTAGAGGCACGTATTTTGAATAAAGCCTTCGAAAAAAGCCGGTAGATTGTTTTTGAATGTACTACCCTATTGTGGAAAAAATTCATCCACTCCATTTGTTATTTTCCTCATAAATCAGAAATGGTGTCTCAATCACACTGAACAGCCCCCCCACCCATGCCAAATAATGATTTCTGCCTTATTAGCTTAGCTCCTCCCCTGAGTGAGCTGTATACAGTCCAAGTTTATCTCCTTGCTAGTTCATTTAAAATTCAGAACTCTCTACTCAAGTTATTCAGTCAAGAATAGTGAGTGATTTCCTTTTTTCTTTTATTGTTTGATTCATAACAGCACAGACAGCAGTAGGTACTGTACATTAGGCTGCTGTCACACAGATCTTATACACATGCGTTTTCTTTCCCAGCTGTTTACGTTCACAGGCATAACCGACTGTGTTTATGTAAACATTGCATGTTTATGACATACCCTTGTGTGTATTTGACTGTTTAAGCACTATAAGACGCATAAGAGAACTTACCATACATTCACACTGGGCGTCGGCATCAACACTTGACGGAGGGTGTGTCTGAAGCTTGGTGCTTACGCGACCATCAAAGTGACAACAACAATCACATTAGGGTGGTGCATGAACACGATTGGCTAGCGTCTGTGCTAGGGATTTGCTTCAGATGTGTGTGCTCAGAAAACCATATATCAGAAGTTTAAACTGATATGCCTTTAAAACGCATGCAAATAATAAACTTTAATGATGATGAAGAGCATGAGCGAGAACGCGATAGACATGATAATCAAAACCAACTGTATATGCACAGGCACCATCTTGCTAGCTGAGTAATTGATGCTAAACAGAGTGAATAGTGCTGTTTTATTCTGAAGCTGCACATCCCCAATTGGTCACACCCTCTCATAAAGACGTAGTCCAGTCCTGCAACATCCCTACAGGGACAGAGCAAATTGCTTCCATTTTATCAGATGCAGCGGGCCAAAGGTTAACACAGATCGGCTCGTTTCAGAGCTGAATACTCGGAAAGTAGCACAGATGCACAACAGGGACAGTGGGAGGAGATAAGATCTGAGTTTAAACCCATGGTTACTGTTCACTTGCAGTTGCTTTTGTTAAAGGAGGATGATGGGTTAGTGTTTTGCTCAAACTCTCTAGTTCACTAGTTAACCCTTTATGACTCAAACTGCATGGGCAGTTGTCAAAGAGCTTTAGTGACTTCTGTTCCTGCAGAGCTACAGTAATGTCACAGCAAATGAAGGAAAACAGCAGTATGCACAGAATTGATTGCATTCAATTTTTAAGAATAAGCCAGCCTTTGTGAATGCGATTGCCGTTTTGCTGTTTTCAGATCTTCTGGTATGTTTGTTTACATAGGTGCGGATGAAAGGCTGGCAGTTTACATTTTTAGTCATTTGGAAATGAATAATACATTATATATGAAAACAGAGAGGGGAAAAGGGAAAAATAGAAATCAACATGAAACACAACACAAACATCGAGATCTTTCATCTGCTGCAGAAATCATCATTTCAAATAAATATGTAAATGTGAAATGTTCTCACTGCCTGTCATTTTGAGCTGCCCCTTAGGAGGAAAATCACAATTGAGATCTCTGTATTATCTCAATAGTTTTTCCTAGAGAGTAATGAGATTAAATGGAGGCTTTTGTCTTTCCCCTGTGAAAAAGACCAAAGTAATTTATCCATGGCTACATTCTCACTGCAAGCCTTAGTGCTCACTTCTGATTTATTGCTCAGATTCAGATTTCCGATTTGAATGTGAACTGGTCACAGTCCTAAACTGACAAACATGTGCAACAGAATACTGTCATATGGAAGTGAACATGGAGGTGACTGAAGTCAATGTTTACACCTTCATTTATAAGGTGATGTGCTGTAAAAGACGTGAAAGAAGTGAAATAGTGCACAGGTGATAAGGAGGACAAAAACAAGAATTAGGATTAGGATTTCAGTCATTAACACTGGCAAGAAACTATAAAAAATTATTTTGTATGATAAATAAATAAACACCCCCAAATAGGAATTCATTGCCTTAAATGTTAATCTGAAGCAACATGGCATATCTTGTTACACACCACTATCTGTCAACACACAAACAAATGACAATGATATGGGTCAGGACAAAATCAATGCCAGTCCATGAGCATAAACCCATATAACTGCATCTATGGCAAACAGCATTAGAACAAATATACACACACATCACTGGATGACACTAGGGCCCTGTCCACACGACCACGGTTAATTTTAAAACCGCAGCTTTTTCTACACGGTTTGGCCGTTCGTCCACATGCAAACGCAGCACCAGGTCACTGAAACTGAACATTTTTGAAAACACCTGCCAGGGTGAAGATTTTCAAAAACTCCGGTTGCAGTGTTATCGTGCAGACAGCGAAATCTGAGTTTTTGGCTTGTGACGTCGGCGCCTGCGCTGTTATCTCCACCTAATGGAAACTTTTTCAGGCTTCTGATTGGCCAACATGGCTTTACGGTTGAGATTATATCGCCACCTGTTGGTTTGGCATGCTCTTGACAGTGCTTCATAGCATGCGTTTGCGTTTTCATGTGGACTGAGATTTTTTTTTAAACGGAAGAAGGAAAAACTCTGTTAATAATAATACCCGTGTACGTGTGGACATTGCCTAATGAATACTGACTGACACAATCAGATGCAGTTACATGCTCTCAAATCTGCTGCAATGGGGCATAAGTCCACTCACTGTGACTATGCTCCTGTTTCAATGAATTGTCATACGTGGTTTAAAACCTTCCATTTTAAATATATATTTGGTTTCCTTGTGAAATTAAATTTGAGATACGGTATGATGTTTCCTCTCATATGCCCTCAAGGGACAGATAAATAGACAGCGTGATCACAGTCTCTCTGTTTGACCTCTGGGATCGAATTCATCCAGTTTGTGAGATTAGTGCCCAATAGTGTTTGACCTGCTGTCTCCCAGGCAATTGTGTGTCAAGAGTAAAAGGTTGTGACCCCAATCTCATCATGTGGACACAGACATTGTTTGACCTTTGAGAATATGTGTGCATTTACGTGCATTCATGAGGAAAAGCCTTTAAGACCTTTTAGAGCAGGAAAACTAAACCATTCCTCTAAATGCAGTCTCAGTCTCTTTCACTGTATTTCAAGCTTCACTCAGAAAATATATTAAATAATGCATGTGCCCTCAAGCAACGACAACTACAATCTTAACAAATTTGTAGCAATCTAACCTCACTAGGGCAATTAAACCTTCCAATTAATTTAATTATCATAAACATCAGGCAGAGCATTTGACACAATATTTAAAAAGGCTCCCTGTTTGCCCACGATTTCCCTGTGGACATGTGTTTTTTTTTGTTTTGTTTTTTACGTGCAATAAATTCATTACTTTTAAACATGATATAAAGGTTGCTAGCTGGAAACTGCTGAATGATATAAAAACATTAAGATTTCATCTTACTCAAAAATCAAAGAATGCAAATATAACTAATATTTCCAAATCTAATTCCTCTAAGAATTCCTCAAGTATCAAAAAAGATTGATCCAGATATAACTAGAAAATACACAAGCAATTCATCTGCCTTTTTTTTTTTTACGTATTTTTGACACTGGTGAAGCATTTTACTGAATTCCCCTCACTTAAAGCATCATATATATGTCATTTAAGATTTAATAACTCAGAAATAAAAACAGGTGGATTTCGAAAATATTCCAGAATAATATGTTGTGTTAATTATTATAACATAAAATATGATACATAAGGAATTGACACTCATAATATATAGATACTGTACACGTGATAAAATATGGCACTGTGTATGTATTAATAAATTTGAACAAATATATACTATATATGTTTACATTTATATGAGATGTTCAATGTATGAGGAAAATATGAATTGTGATATATATCCATATATTTGTATTTATTTAGATTTTATATAGCCTATTTATATTTTCCATCCACCAAGATATCCAATGCTCCAAAAATCCTAATCCTAAAATTTCAATATTTGTTTTCAGCAAACACTTGTTTGTTATATAACATTGTATGCAATCAATGCAGTGAGATAAATGTTTATGAATATGTGTTCAGTGTTAACTCATGAAATATAAATGAATTAAAGTTCTTAAAGTTATTACATGCAGTATTTGTCTTTATTGCTGTATATATTTTTCTGTATCAATGCATGCTTCATGCATATATTGCAGTATATTGAAAAGTATAAACACTAGTTTCCCATATATGGAAATGTATTATGTAATATTTCACATTATGTTTTCCAGTATGTCTCCATTCATATACTTTTGTACTTTCTGACCACTTTCTGTGAAGGTTTTGTGCATGTGAACATCAGGTACTGTACAAATAGGCTACCAATACCAGAAGTATTATTTTGCCTAAGTAAAACAAAAAGACAACAAATTAAAACTTCTTTCATAATGCTAAGCAAGAAGAGGAAAAACAAAGACTTGTTGAGAGCAGAGAGAAAACAAGATGGCTTGCATTCTATTTAAGGGACATCTCATGCCAATAGCACATTGCCTTAATGAACAACAAGGTGTCAAAACAGCTTAGACGCTTCTCAGTGTTTTTCTCTGGTTTTGGAGAGCTCCCACCATGAGTTCAACAAACCCAGCCCCCTCTAACAAAGGAACAGCCTGATAATTTACCCTGGAGCTTCAATGTCATGCCAAGCAATTTCAGACAGAACATGGTGCTAATGAGTAAACATCACATCACTTTTTAAATACATCTTCATAAGGTCAAAGCTCAACAAAGTAGAAGACAGTGTGTTTGTGAACTGCCATTTACTTCTGTAATTTGATGTGTTTCTGAAGTAAACAAGATATTTAGAGGAAAGAAATGTAGGAAGAGACCTAATTTTATACATGCCGACAGGTCGTATTCTGATTTTCAGAAGGAGCTGGATGGAAATTTTTTAATAATACAAATCCACAAATCTGATGCAGACTGGAATCATAAATCACACCGTGTTTGATCATTTAGCCAGAGGAAAGCTGATCCCCTAGTGAGCCTGGTTTCTCCCAAAGTTTTTATCTCCATTTTTGTCACCTGATGGAGTTTGGATTCCTTGCTATTGTTGCTTTTGGCTTGCTTACATGGAGTTTAAAAGACACTACTATTTAACAATACTGCATTATCAGTTTGACTGCTAACGCTATTGAATGATTAATATTGAATATTAATAATCTTTGTTTCCAATTTGATGAATTTTGCAGCATTAATACTGTTATTGAACTGAATTGAATCAACCTTGAACTGACTAAAGCTGAATTTATCTTATGTAGAGCTGCATATAGCTGAACTGAACTCATATTCACCTGAATCAACACTGAACTGACTTATGAGAATAATGACACTATTGTCTTTGTAAAGCTGCTTTACAGCAGAATCTGTGTCATATTTGATGACGTTTGCATCATTAATTCTGCTATTTTACTGTTTATACTGTAAAACTGCTTTGAAACAATCTGTATTGTGCAAAGTGCTAAATAAAAATACAGGTGCATCTCAAAAAATTTGAATTAGAATCATCGTGAAAAAGCTTATTTTTATTGGTAACATTTCAAAAAGTGAAACTTTCATATAGTCTAGATTCATTACACGTAAAGTAAAACATTTCAAAAGTTTTTTTGTTGTTGTTGTTTTAATTTTGATTTAATGATGATTACAGCTCATGGAAGTAAAAAATCCAGTATCTCAAAATATTAGAATATTTACATTTGAGTTTCATTAAATGACCATCTCTAGAGTATAAATTCCACGTATCTCTTGTTCTTTGAAACCACAATAATGGGGAAGACTGCTGACTTGGCAATGGTCCTGAAGACAATCATTGACTCCCTCCACAAAGAGAGTAAGTCACAGAAGATCATTACTGAAAGGGGTGGCTGTTCACAGAGTGCTGTGTCAAAGCATATTAAATGCAAAGTTGACTGGAAGGAAGAAATTGGGTAGGGAAAGGTGCACAAGCAACAGGAATGACCACAAGCTTGAGAATACTGTCAAGCAAAGCCAATTCAAACGCTGACCATGATATTACAGTGCTTGATTGGCCAGCCAACATGTCTGACCTGAACCCCATATGGAATCTATGGGATATTTTCAAGAGAAAGATGAGAAACAGTGGATCCAACAATACAGACGAGCTGAAGGCTCAATAGTGCCACAGGCTGATCGCTTACATGCCACACCTCTCTGATTCTGGAGTTTGTGCTAAAGGAGCCCCGAACAAGTATTGAGTGCATAAATTAACATTTTATATACTTTATTTTCTTACACTTTAAAGAACTTGAACTTTTCTGTTTTGCAATTCCTTTTTTTGATTGATCTTATGAAATATTCTAATATTTTGAGATACTGGATTTTTGACTTTCATGAGCTGTAAGCTCATAATCAATCAAATCAATGTAAGCTAATCATCAAAATTAAAACAAAAAAACTTTTGAAATGTTTTACTTTACATGTAATGAATTTAGAATATATGAAAGTTTCACTTTTTGAAATAAGTTACAAAAAAATATATAATAAACGATATTTAAATAGTTTGAGATGCAACCAAACGATCACATTAAGAGCAAGAACTTGTATGAAGAACAATAAAAAATATCACAATAAGAACAAGAACATGTATGAGGAAGAATGGGGCACTCAGCGTGATTTTTAGTATTATGCATATAATAACTCTAAGTGTTCATACAGCTGCTTAAAGAAAGTAATGAGGTTCAATGGCAGATCTGCGCAAGACTGAGCTAACAGTGGTCAAAACAGCAGTGTAATTACGTCAGCCAGCAATATAGCCATCCCAAGAGTCTAAGTTCTTGCAGTGCACATTTTTAATCCTTAAGACCCTGCTTGTGATGACACAAGCACCTTTACAGACTGCTGTGTTTTATTTTCTCTCTTATTACTGTTTTGTGTGTGTGTGTTTTGTGTAAGATGCTACAGAAAATAATAATCAATGCTCTTGAGGTTCTTACACAATATTTACACAGTAACAATCCGATTTCCTCCAGCGGCACAGAGATGTTAACATTATGCATGACGGAAGTGGGTTTTTACGTCACAGTAAGATGGTCTTGAAGCCTCTGCAAACACTCCACTGTAGTCGCATTCTGGAGAACTTTAGCAAGTGGAGCTTGTGTGAGCGACTACATAGGTGTGCAAATACTGTGTGTGTGTGTGTGTGTGTGTGTAGATGCTTATTCAGCTTTTAAAATGCTATAAGGGGCTAATTGGGTCTCTGAAACCCAGATGGGTGCTTTATCTCATGATT